AAAATGCCAACCCTGAGAGAACTCAGGTAGCAGTATTTATTGAGAAAACACACAAGCAAAATATACAGTATGCATATTCAGAAAACAATGACCTCAACAGGAGATTACTTCACCAGCATGAGAACACACAATCTTGGAAAGTCCCAGATGTTACCTTGCTAGGGTGAGATCATTCAGCCACGGAAAGTCTCATGGGAAAGTTTGGAAAGTCCCATGAGAAAGCACAACTGTGTATCTTGTACCTTGAACTTTCACCCATTTTCCTATTCCTTCTAAACTGGCAGAATCAAAACAGAATGAGGCACTCTGAGCAAAGATACTCCTACCCCCACCAAGAATGCCCACATCTCCCTAGACTTACTGCTAGTATTCAAAGGCCTTACAGAAAATGATAAAATGATCAATAAAATATATTACCACAAGGTGCCTAGGATTAGCTGTATTCAGTCACTGGGTCGATGTAGGAGGGGCGTGTCGGGATAGAATAACTATAAAATGTAATGTATTGAAATCTTAAGGTGTGGTTCTTGGCTCAAACTTCATGTTGAGGTCAGCAGGGATTCTACCGCTCTTTGCAAACAGCCTAACCATAAATTCTCTGTGTTTTCACCGAGCCAAGTTTTTCTCATTTGGATTCATTTCCAACAATAATAATAATACACACATTCTTGTGGAGTCCTTATCCAGCTCACCGGCGTTGATACAGAAGGCGGTGTTTGAGCCTTGTGGGGGCGCGCAAAGCACACCCTCAGAACAAATAGGAAACCCACCCCTGTTTGGGTTGTGTGTTAAAACCGGTCATTTGTCCCCAACCTAGGTAGCTGTTGTGATTTGCGCGAACACCTCTGCAAGCTGCACAACCGTGGGCTTAACAACAAATGTTACGACAACTGTATGTGCACCGAAGGTACTTGGAGAAGTTTCTCTCGGGACAGGTGGTATAAAAACCCAGGGGTCGGTGGCATTGTCCTCCTCATTTGTTCCCCTTGAACTTGGCTCAGTTTTTTTCTCTCTCACGTTAGGCCTCCGCTGTTACGCCAAATTCCACCGGAACCGCAGAGTCGTCCGACGAAGAGGCCGCTGCGTGGAGCCGGATTCTGTGGATGCTGATCAGGGGTCTTTCCTTAATGTCTTGAGAGAGAGAGAAAGAGACTAATGGGAGGGGGCTCCAAAGTGGACACAGTTAATTTATAACTTTGGTTGTGGGCTGGCCTCAAACGCACAAAGGGAATCAAAGCGGGTGGGGGGAAAAAACGTTCTGAAATAAATTCTTCCCGAGGTCGGAGTATCTCTGTTGGAGTATCTGTGCTGTTTCTCTTTGCGGTAGCTCCTTCCTTGTCCTGGGAGAGGCCGGAAGCGGAGAAAGGAGAGCCCAACGCGGGCAGGATTTGCAAAAATAAATAAATAATAGCGGGAGGGGGGAAGACTGAGCAGTTTAGCCAGGGTCTCATCCAGAGATGCAACAGGCCCCCTCTCGCGGGCCAAGTAATCCTTGAGAAAATACGAAAAGCTGGAAAACTGAATTGTTACGAAACGAAGGGAATGTCAAACCCTCTTGAAAAATCACCAAGCACTGACCTCGTTTGCTGTGGGGGTTTAGCTGTGTTTAAAAACAAAAAACTCACCAGGTCTAGAAACTTGACTCACAGCACACGAGTGAAAGAAGAAGAAGAAAAAACCCTTTATTTGGGGGGTTTCCCTCTTGCTGAATTTGTCTTTTTTTGCACCCCTGTCTGAGACTAACCTTTGTGTCCAGGCCTGCGCGTTTCAGTTTCAAATTAAATCGTTTCGCCTCTCAAAATATCACCTCTGGGTCTCCTTTCCTTGACGCACTTCCATAAGCTGCTGGGTGGATTGAAAACAGAGGTTGAAAAAACATTATCTTGGGGGGGGGGAATAAGTTTAAACGCAGCTGCTGGTGATTTATGGCCCTGCAGATTCATCCAACATTGTGGGATGGATGTGAGTGTAAATACAGACTTGCATAAATAAAAGTATTTTGTAAATATAAATAAATTTTGTAAATATAAATAAATATAAAAAATTGTAAATATAAATATAAACATAACAATAATACATAAATATAAATATAATATGTAAATATGAATATAACTTTTTTTGTAAATATAAATATAATAATATAAATACAAAAAAGCTTGTAAATATAAATATAACAATATGTAAAAATATAAATATAATAT